TTTTAAAGAACGAAAACATTGCACATGCCCAACGCTGGCAACGAATATCAGCAGCAAAAACACACTTTTGGAAGAGATGGCAGAGCGAATATTTAGCAGACTTGCAGAACCGATATCGTTGGAAATATGATCAAGATAACGTTGCAGTTGGCAACTTGGTTATCATTTATGACGAGCACGCTCCTCCGATGAAATGGGTAATGGGTCGTATTGTGAGTGTGAAAACAGGCGCTGACGGACGTGTTCGCGTTGCTGATGTACAAACACCAACAACAGTTTTACGACGCCCTGTTGCTAAGTTGGCACTTATTCCAATTAATTGAAATTTAATATTTCAATAGGGGCCGGGATGTTAAGCCAACTTGGCATCATAATATTTTTCTTTTTTATATGTATTAATATTAACTAATGTTATTTTTTAAATTAGAGATCAATCAAGTGTAACAAATGTTCTGTATCACGATAGAATAATCAATTGTAACAATTTATTTGTAACATTTGTATTGTTTTTAAAAAACCTGTTTTTACATTGTTGTTGCTATTTTTTATATACGACGAAATAAAATTATGGTTCGTGCGTTCACGTGCTTAACGAATTATCAATTGTCGATTTTTTAATTTATTTTTCAATTTTAACAAACCCATTCGAACCGTGGGTAAAAAAAGGAGGTGAATTGGTGCAAGAGCTCAGTATTTAAGGTTTGATCATAAACTAGGAATACTTTACAATTCACTCTTTTTTACAAGAATGTTACGGGACGATTTATCATACGTCTTCCTTTTATAAATGACAGATTCGCTTTGGGAGATTCGAAAGACATTGCTACAAATAGATTTCTAGCACGAGAGCGTAGACTTTCAAAGGATAGTCACCTCAAACGACAATACGTAGAGTTTTTAGATGAATATGAAAAATTGGGACATATGACCGAAATAGATATTGAAAGGATTATGTCACCACATTACTTTATACCACACCATTGTGTGCTTAAACCTGATAGTACCACCACTAAGTTACGTGTGGTATTTGATGCATCATCCAAAACAACATCAGGGCAATCTCTCAATGATTTACTACACATCGGACCAACTGTTCAAAGTGAATTACTATCTATTTTATTACGATTCCGTCTTCCTCGTTATGTGTTTACAACAGACATTGAAAAGATGTGCCGACAAATACTTGTACATCCAGAAGACAGACAATGTCAGCTTATCGTTTGAAGAAATGAACCAAGTCAACCTATAAAGTACTTTGAACTCAACACAGTAACATATGGTACAAGATCAGCACCGTATCTAGCAACCAAATGTTTGCAAGTTTTAGCTGATGACAATATGCAAAATTATCCATTAGGTGCATCTGCTCTCAAACAAAACTTCTATGTAGATGACTGTTTACACGGGGCAGATAGTCTGAGAACATTGTTGGAAACTCAGAGTCAATTAAACAAAATACTGACAGCAAGCGGTTTTAAATTGCGAAAATGGTGCGCAAATCATCCAAGTCTACTACAAGGAATTCCACACGATGACTTAGAAGTCAATTTAGATTTAGAAAATAACGATACAACAAAAACTCTTGGGTTATCCTGGTGTCCAAAATCTGATAGTTTATGCGTCAAGGTTAAATTGGAACCTGTTTGCAGCACGACGAAGCGCAGTGCAACCTCAGATTTCGCAATGCTATTCGATCCACTAGGACTTTTGTCACCAGTTGTGGTGATGGCAAAGATTTTTATTCAAGAATTAAAGATGATTTAAAGATGGATTGGGATGAAAAACTGCCGACTGAATTACATAAACAGTGGTTAGAGTTCCGGAACAATTTGACAAAAGTAAATTGTCTGCAGATATCTCGTCATATTTTCAAAGGCGAAGTTCCTGCCAACATTCAATTACACATCTTTACAGATGCATCAGAAAAGGCATATGGTGCTGCAGCGTATTTGCGATCAAAACTTCAGAATGGTCAAATTATTGTACGACTATTGTGCGCCAAATCTCGGGTTTCACCTTTGAAAAGGTTGACATTACCTCGTCTCGAACTTTGTGCAGCTGTGGTTGGCGCAGAACTAGCAACAAGAATAAAGAACGATCTACAAATAAGAAATTACCAGACGTTCTTTTGGTGTGATTCACAAATAGTGATATCATGCATCAACTCTCCATCATCAAAGTTTCACACTTTCGTTGCAAACCGAGTAAGCAACATTCATCAATTAACAGCCACAAGTCAGTGGCGCCACGTCAGTTCGGAACACAATCCAGCTGACATTTTATCAAGAGGCCTTGCACCCCATAAACTACAGTCATCAAGTATGTGGTTTTATGGACCTATGTTCCTGCATGGTCGGGAAAAACTGTGGCCTTCAAAACCATCATCAGCGTTAAAATCCGAAACCCTCATTGTTCCTGAACGGAAGAAGGAAACTCCAGTATCTACATTGTCTGTTGTTGAAGGCACAGTAAATCCTGGAGAGTTCATATACTCAATACGACACAACAACTCATTTGGAAGACTTCAACGGATATTATCGTATATATTAAGATTCGTAAAAAGAACCAGAAGAAAACAAAATGATCATTCAAGCAATTTTTTGACTCCAGATGATCTAGATGCAGCACATCAGGTCATCATCAAAAGTATTCAATATGCAGAATTCAAAAATGAAATCAAAATTATGAAATCTGATGGAAGAATAAATAAGTTCAGTGCATTGGCATCACTGGCACCTTTTATTGATAATACAGGCATCATAAGAGTTGGTGGACGGTTGGATGCAGCCTCATTATCGTATGACGCCAAATATCCTATGTTGTTACCTTATAACGACCCCATTGTCAAATTAATAATGAAACAAGTCCATAAGAAATACATGCACTGTGGTCCGCAGTCTCTCCTAGCTAACATGCGTCAACGATACTGGCCAATTAAGGGCAAATTGATGGCAAGGTCAGTAGTACAACATTGTGTACGTTGTACTAAAGTAAGACCACGATTTTATGAATAACTGATGGGTAATTTGCCAGCGACAAGAGTACAACCTGGGCGACCATTCCTCACCACTGGAGTGGACTTTTGCGGACCTTTTTGGATACATTACAGAATCCGAGGCAAGAAACCACACAAGGCATACATTGCTGTCTACTGTTGTTTTACAACTAAGGCAGTTCACCTCGAAGTAGTTAGCGATTTAACCACAGATGCATTCATCGGATCGCTGAAACGTTTTATTGCTCGAAGGATACTGCAAAAATTTGTTTTGTGACAATGCCACAAATTTCGTGGGAGCAAGCAATCAATTACTTGAACTTGCAGACTCAACTCAAACAAGCAAGGCACAAGAGAAGATAATTAACAAATGTAATGAAAGAGGAATAACATTTAAATTTATACCTCCTCGTGCACCACACTTCGGTGGACTGTGGGAAGCAGCAGTCAAATCAGCAAAACACTTATTGATACGAAGTACTAAGACGATTTCACTAACATATGAGGAACTAGAGACTGTGGTATTAGAAGTCGAAGCAATACTGAACTCTCGACCATTGACACCTATGTCGAGTAATCCGAATGACTAGTCAGCACTAACACCTGGTCATTTCTTAATCGGAGAACCACTCACAGCAATGGCAGATGCAAAGGCCCAATCAGGAAATTTAAATCTGATGACAAGGTGGAAATTAGTTTCTCGCCTCAAATTGGACTTTTGGGAACGTTGGAAAACCGAGTACCTCACTGAACTACAATGTCGACACAAATGGAAAACAGCCAATCCAAATATAAAAAAGGTACCCTTGTAATCATCAAGGAAGATAATGTTCCTACATTAAAATGGCCGCTTGGACGTATTTCAAAGGTATATAAGGGAGATGACGGTCTTGTTCGCGTGGTCGATGTTAGAATGGCATCAGGAACTCTAAGACGTCCTTTGACAAGACTAGCGCCTCTGTTTCCAGCCGATGAACAATCTCCTGTTTCTGATGAACAACTTTCAAAAAGTTTTACAAAAGCAAATTCGAAAACACCACACGAAGGCGCAGATCAAGACGAGCCACCTAAAAAGTATTCACGGCCAATGTTTAATTCATTACTGTGCACAATGTTATTATCTCTATTATGCTTGCCATTGGTATTAGGGAATTCAGTGAATGTAGCACGTTTCGACAATAATTTAGGAATATACTTTGAATCCATTGGCTTGATGAAAGTAGCAACGGCAGAATGGAAAATGATTGTTTACTATGATCTTCATCCATATTGGACCGAAATGGACTCCTTCAAAAACGGGACTAAAACTATCAAACGTTTATGTTCAGAATTGCAAGCACATACAGCATGTACTTCTCTCTATACTCATTTTAAACATGTAAGAGATGAATTGTTGCAAGACCAAACATTATTACATAAAAGCGGGAACAAGCGAGCTGCAATTAACATAGTAGGAAATATTGCACACACCTTATTCGGAGTGCTTGATTCAGACTACGCTGAGAGCATGTCTGACACAATAAACCAACTTAACAGTAGAGATGATTATGCAATGCAGTTAATTCATAATCAAACATCTATTATAGATTCCACAATAAATATAATCAAACGAGATGAAGTTACCATGCAGTCCCGAATGAATCATTTGCAAAAGCAGGTTGATGAGTTTCTGAATAGAATTGGAACTACAACAGAACAAATACATGTCACTCAATTACTACTTTCATTATCTGCAGAACTCACATTAATGGTATCCAATCTTCAACACATCCAGTCGGAGATAATTGATGGGCTTACAGGCACACATCATGGGAAAATCAGTCCACTGCTATTAACTCCTGATCAATTAACAAAGGAGATTAACAGAATCAAAGGCCACTTACTATCATCGCGTACACGACCGTTCACAGAAGACAATTTGACCGATTTTTACAAGCTAATGAAAGTGAAGTCAACAATTAAAAATCAGCATGTATTATTTTTAATACAACTACCACTGCTAGACAAGCAGCAATTTGAATTGTTCAAGACAACACCGATACCGGTTGTAATAAACAAAACCATGATAATTATCAAAACTGAAGTGGAGTACTTGGCAACCAACACTGTTCGAGATCAGTACATTCCATTTGATGACCATGAGTTACGGGAATGTTTTTTAACCAAGGATAATATATAGCTTTGCGCTAATAAACAAACAAGACTAGGTATAGCATCATCGGTACATTCATGTGAAATTAATCTATTTAATGGTAATCAGTCAACAACATGCAATATAATAAAATTTCAAGGAAATATTGCATTGAAACAACTACACAACCCGAACCAACAAAAACTTGAAACATTGATGTCAGCTAGTTGTGAGACCTACTTGAGTCAGTTCTCAAGTAGGTTCTTACATTTGGACCTACGTGCATCATTAAAAACGCAGAAATAACCATACATGGCCACTATTTTATCTCCAGCATTGTATCCACGTCATTTCCACGATTTGGAAATTTATCAACAGTTGTACACATTAATGAGATGCAGAAAATCTTCAATACAACACCAAATGATGTAAAAACACAACTCAAAGAACTCACAGAATTGCAAGACCGGCTAACTAAGGAAAACTTGACATATCTTCCCTCTAGAGTGCGATTAAACAGTATTCATCATCATACGATAAGTTATTTGGCGTTGTTAATTTCTATAATAATAATCATAATCATTACTTGGAAAACCAAACATAACAGATGTCAGAAACACACAATAAGCGAAATTTCAACACGAGGAAATGATATGCAGAATGCAGAATTACGTCAACAAAATTTGGACTTCACTGTGACCACAACCTAGGACAAGTTGAGTTGGCACTCAACGGCGGGGAGAATGTTTATGTTTGCATTTAATTAATATTATTTTATATTTTTTTTTTTTGTTATTTGTTTACATGTGTTTACATATTATTTGGGCCAACACTGCGACCAGTCATTGACCAACGAAAAGTGCAATTCTGCATTATCAGCTTTTCTTGTTGGTCAATGCACTGAAGAAAGTGTGTAATATGTTGGCCTATAATTATGTCAGCACAGAGTAGGCAAATTTATTTATTTGTGGATTATGCATTAATATTTATTGTTAATTAATGCATAATTTAATAGCTTTTTTATAAAATAAGTTTTGTATAAATATAAGAAATAATTTTAATAAAGTTCAGAAGGAAAAGAAAAAGAAACGAAATCAATTATAACTTTCTTACTTTCTCGCATCGATTAGTTTCGGTTTCAAGTGCTCAAACTAATTAACATAGAAAATACAAGTAGTTTGGGTTACAAGTGCTCAAACTACTTTACACATAAAAATTGGCTACCAAGCTAACACAGATTAAGGATCTGGGTTAGCACCAAGTAGCGTACAGATTATCTTCTTGTATTTGCTTATACGCTCGAAAATTTCATATCCAGCTTCGAGTTCATTACAGCGATATAAAAAAGTTTATGTTCGTATTTGATTTTTAAACCGTCAACTATATAACGAATATCCTAAATTGTGTCTACATTTCCGTGAACTGCAATACTTTTCATATGTAACACTTATTCGGCGAAGCTTCCACTTTCACGTTTTATTCTCTCAGCTAATTCTTTGTGAATATCAGCACTTGTGTATTCTTTTTTGGATTCTTCTGTTAACATTTCTTTCAGCTCTTCATACTCTTTGATCGTTACTGTTTCTAAGAAGTTTTTGCAATTGATGTCATTTTTGCTCGTGCTTGCACGAAATTCTTTTTGGCACTGAGCCCGTATGCATCTGTTTTTTTGCGAAACTATCCAACCACTTTTCAATTGGTATTGTATTACCGTCGAAATTCGGAACTACTTTTTCGAAGTTTTCGGCTGATATCTAATAATTTTTTTTGCATAGCTTCTTTGTAAAATTGCACCCAAAAAAGGCGCTTTACATATAGTAAATTAAAAAATATGCATAACAGATGTCTCTACAAAAAGAATAGCTTTGAAACAAAAATAGGCAAGCTCAAAGATTAACTTTCAATTCGTTGAACTAGTGTTTCCAAATAAAGCTGTAGTTTATAAGCTCGTTCTAATTTAAAGCACGGCAAGTGCTTTGGTTGGTGTCACTAATAAAATAAAAATAAATGACAAAACCAGGAATTTGAGTATTGAAAGTTTGTGCAGCCTTGGCTATTTGTGGATAAACACGATTAGTCATCGCTTCTAATTTGACAGGCACAAGTTCTAAGCCTGGCACTTGCAGTCCAAACAAATTATATAGGGACTATAAACTAATTAAATAAATTCGATTATTTCTAAAGACCACTGATGAAGAGTACTTGGCAATACTCGAAACAGCGTTGCATGGTCAACCAAATTTCAATAAATTAAAAATAAAAAATTTTTGTCTTTGTCCTTTCTTTGCTATTCGGATCCGTCTAACTTTTAGATAGTTTCTTTCGTCATAAAAAGACACGCTATTATCGGCAAGAAAAAATTAACCTTAATTTTTTTTCTTTTAAATTTTAAATCTCCTTTAAATCTGTTTCGCTTTGCATGGCTTCTACGTTATTCATTTCAACTTCTTCTTTTACGTCTTCGTATTCTGTGCTACTAATGCTGCTGTCCGCTGTTCTGATCTATTTTTCTGCTTCGTTCGTATTTGTGGTTCTTGTTTGAATTCGTTGTAACTTTTTGACGCCCTCCGTTATTTGTCCTTGTACTCTTTTTGTTACGTTTGGACAATTTTTTCCGTTCATACGTTATTTGTTCTCGCGTCCACTTTTTACAGAACTATATTCGTTAACCTTCTTTTTAAATTCAACAGCAGTATCAGCACGTAGTTTATATAAAACAAAAAAATTGATAATAACAAACTATTCGACTCGATTTTAATGTTTAATTATCACTGTATTTGATGCATTAATTTTAGTCAATTTTGACACTTATCAGTTATTAAACACTAGGTTTTAAGATTCGCATCGTAAAAGTTACACTTAGAAACTACTTCTAATACTGACTGCTT